GTGAGTTTTGCTTCTAGCTGAGTATTCTACTTGATGCAGCAAATCTTACATTCTCCCTTATAACACAAGAAACTAGACGTGGACATCATGATACTGAAGAATCCAACAGACGTTTATTGCAATCAGCCATTGTATACAGACATTACATTCAAAGGCACATTAAGGTACCAGATTACAGCTGAGGAGCCTGATTATTGTAGCATATCATGTTTCAAGTGATCCCAGGCTAAGACAGAGTCTCAAATATTTATCATCTCAGGTCACATGTGATAATGCAGAGGATAACATTATCATGGCTCTTAAAAGACATGTTCACCTGCTGTAACTCAAAGTTATGCTGACAGTGAGACATAACACATCATCTCCCTTATCTCAAAGTTTAAGAAAACAAAAACAAAATGAAAAAAATCTAAAATTAAAAACCAAACAGTTGCATATAGTTGTACATAGGCACATTTTCAATTTGATAATTAATATCAAGAAGTAAACAGAATTTACAGGTCTAACATTTCAAAATTTAATCTAATACTCTGGAGGACTGGCATGCATCACATGCATTTAGGAGTTGTGGAGTATCCTGATTCATCACTGGCCAGTACACAGATTCACATGCGAGCTGTCATGTGCATTCAATACCCACACATCGTTAGTATAGCCAGGACATATCTTGACATAATGTTTTTGGTATTAGGACTTGTTTGCCATTAAAATGACTTGCCGTGATATACCTGTACCAAATTCATCTCTGTATGACCAAAGTGAACAAGTCTTCTGAGATACTCCTTTAATACGTATCTTCTTGACCAAATCTCTCAGTGGGGATATACTGCCTGCAAAGGTGGGAGCATATGGTGAGTGGAAGTTACACAATCCAAAACAATGTTGCAGGTTCTCTTTATCCTGTACAATCTTATGTTGTTTGGGGCACCACTGGCAGATTAAGTGAAGTTTATCTGGCAGATGCTAAGTTGTTATTTTGTGCTTAACTATTAATCCTTGACATTGTGTCGCCGTCTTCAGGAGATGAAGGCTGTGGCCATGTTCGGTATAAATCTCACCCATGACCATATGCAATCACAGGCTCTTATATTTTCAATAATACTAGCTGTGTGCTGTTGGAATGGATCTTGGCTAACTGATAGCCGAAATGATGACTGTTGGAACTAATACCATCCAAATAGTGACCCAAATGTCATGAGTGCTAGGGACTCTTTTTTTGTTAAATGGACAGACTTGCTTTATAGCTAGGCTGCAATACAAATTTGCCATGGGAAAATTTAGGATTTAATTCTACTAGCATTGGTATTTTATGTGAATATCTTTCAAATAGAAGGTGGAGGAGCCTTAAATCTAGCCATGCTCTTATGCTTCTACGTTTCTTTGCTACGTGGTAGAACTACATCAATCTGCCTGATAGTCGACCTTCTGAATTATGACACTTCACTCATTTTGTTCAGATTAGCTTGAAGTTTCTCCTGAATGTACATGTGGTACTTCCTTGGAGGTTCAATAGATGGGTTTGCATCATTCTAACGATTCAAAAATACATCTCCATTGAAATTTCCTATTGTGACCTGTACTTTTGCAACAATTTAACAAAAACTCAAAGCAGAATCAACTGATCTTTGGATATGGATAAGCGTTCTTAACGTAGAAAACCCCATTTTTGATGCTCATGTTCTTAATGATAATGCCCTGATTCATCTCCTGCCTACCCTTGTTTTCTACTTGGAGATCTGCATTTTCAGAACCTTTTTTTTTTATAAAAGGTCAAATCAGCAGGGTCCTGGCTTATTTTTATTTTTGTAAAGAAAGGAGTAAGAGAGCGAACTGCACAGCTACTGGCTTTGCTTGTATTTGTAGCTTCAGCTTTTTTAATATTAAATAAAGGGATTTTAGAATTTTTTTGTAGCTTGAAAGAATTTGGAATTTAATTTAAAAGATACTTGTCTTCTGGTTGGTTAATGCCCCATCTGTAAATCTGCAGCCTCGTCTATATGCACAGAAACTGATATTGTTAATTATCCAAATTCGCTGATGTCCAGAGCTGTTATCCAATTGTCTTTAATTAATTTTCTGAATATCTGCCATTAAGGTATTGGAGTCCTCTTTATAGACATTGCTAGCCTTTTGGGAGTTTTGCCTTCAGCACAGCATTTACTGGATGCACAATGCTTATGACAGGGCTTCCCAAACAATGTGTTGCAACCCTCGGTCAGGCTGATAGCCAAGACTTTGGGCATGCGAGCACTGATGCAGCAATGGCTAAAATGGAGCTCTGACTGAGTTCTAATAGCTGTGAGGCCCCTTTAAGCCATGCTATCTTTTTAAACAGTAGGCATGGCTTAAGTCCCTGAATCCTGCCCTAAAAAAACTCATGGGAAGGTAGATGCTTTTTAGATAATAATTCTGTGGATGGAACAGATTTTTGTCCTGCCGGTCCCAGAGAATTCTCACCCGCTTCTTGACAGGCGTCTTCTGGACCCCCCAAAACATTCAAAATCACCCTTCCACATATGACAGATATCATCACTATACCCTACAATGGCATCTTGTCTCCAATCTACCAATAGTGGTAGTTTTCTTCCTTCCTCCCCTCCATAATCTTTTCTCCTCCCCAGCCATTCTGCCCCTCCCCCTCAGTTACTCCTATGACTTGCTTGCTTAAGCAGTTCGTCCTATATTCCCACAGGCATCCATCACACCACCCCCTCCCTCCCAAGCTCTCTCACACGTGGTCTCAGCAATGTTCAAGTACAGAAATGAGGTCACAGTGAGAAAATGCTTTGGTAGCATAGGTTTATGGATATTGCAGTTGGGAAGAATCCAATAGACATTTATTATATAACATTAATATTACATTCAGAAGCTCACCAATTTCTGGGTTAACATTAAACTATTAGATTAGAAAGGAAGAGCATGCTTCTAATTTTGTGTGATGCTTCAAGTGATCTCAGGGTAGGATGGATTCTGAGATCTCTGTACCCTTAAGTCACATGCTAGGATGCAAGTTGTTATTGTGGATACATCTTTTAAAAGGTTTAATAACATAACGCATCTCTTAAATATATACAACATACTGACCAGGACACATAGCACAACATTCTCAATCCATGACACATTTCTCCTTATCCCATGCACTAATTTTATTTAGCAACCTACTGATCAAAAAGTGTTCTGAAAATCCATGTACATCACATCCAGTGATTCTTCTTTATCAATATCACATTGAATAGCCTCAAAAAAATTTCAATTTTGTCCAATAGTCATTTAGTTGGATAGAATTTGAAAAGACATATTTTGTCAAAGCTTTTCATCTTGCACACATTTGCAAGAAAATCAATTTAAGGGGAGACTGGCATTGATGTGGTCAAGCAAGGTGAAATTTGCCAAAGTCTCAGAGGACTACAGGGCTGCTCTTTCATTTTTGGTGTGTTAGGTTGAGGGTTGCCATGCCTCAGACAAAGAGAGAGGCTGAGAAGGAGAGTCCTTCATGGTAATCTTAGCCAGTGCAGCAGTGCTAATTGATTGCTAAGTGCAGGTTTTTAAAAAAAATTATACCAGGCAGGTTGATTCAGATTGATTAAGACATGCCGTCCTAAGAAATGAATCATCGGATAGTTGTCTCCTGAGACAAAAGTAGGAATTACTGGAAAAGCTTAGCGGGTCTGGCACCGGTGGACAGAAGTCAGAGCTAATATATTGGGTTTAGTGACCCTTTCTCAGATAGTTGTCTCCTGTTTTGTTGCGTTGAAACAGGTGCATTTACAGGTATGCAAATGATGATTGGATAATTTGTGGTTTTCCAAGTGACATTGATTAAGGGATGGATATTTCCCAGGACATCTTGGAAATTTTGGACAGTTCAAAACACTACTACAGGATACTTCACATGCAGCTGCCTTAACTCTAATATTAAGCATGAAATGGACCAAGTGCCCAGGTTCAAGTCCCACCTCTTCCAGGGGTGTGTCATTAATATGCCTCAACGTGTTGATTAGAAGACATCTAGAAATGTGGCACTGCTGACAGAGCGGCACTTCCATATCACTCCACCATGAGTATTTAAGGGGAGGCGATGGCTTAGTGGTATTATCACTGGACTGCTGATCCGGAGACCCAGATAACATTCCGGGGAACAAGGTTAGATAGTGGAATTTCAATTCAATAAAATATCTGGAATTAAGAATCTAATGATGACCATGAATCCATTGTTGGAAAAACCCATCTGGTTCACTTATGTCCTTTAGGGAAGAAAACTACCATCTTCACCTGGTGTGGCCTAAATGTGACTCCAGGCCCACAGCAATGGGACTGACTCTTTAACAGCCCTCTGGGCAATTAGGGATAGGCCATAAATACTGCCTAGTCAGAGACACCCTCATCCTGTGTATGAATAAAGGAAATAAAAATTACCCTAGAGTGAAAATGTGTTGCCATCTTAATAAAAATCGAAAGAACTGTGGATGCCGGAAATCAGAAACATTCACAGAAATTGCTGGAAACTCAGCAGGTCTGGCAGCATGGGGGTACAGAAAGCAAAGTTAACATTTCGGGTCCAATGACCTCTTCCAGAATTCAGAAGTTTTGAAGAAGGGTGATTGAACCCGAAACGTTAACTCTTGCTTTCTCTCCACAGATATTGCCAGACCTGCTGAGCTTTTCCAGCAACTTCTGCGGTTGTTATGTTGCCATCTTGTTACCTGGACGACGCTCGCAGGTATCACTGGTTCTTTTTGTTTACCACTGATCTGTGACAAGTTTAACATCCAACCGAAAACGTCGAAGCAGCACCAGGTGTACAGCTTTCGATCCATGTTATGAAGTTTCGGTCGTTTCTCCGACGATCGGGTGGAGCCGTTAGCAGGCCACGCCCCCTTCCCGCACAGGTGGATGTTGATTGACATGCGACATGGGCCAATAGAATCGCACAGAGTCAGCACTGCGGTTACTACCCAATCAGTGAGGAACGGCCCGTGGGGGCGCGTGCGCCGACCCTGCCTCCTCGCTGCGTGCTGGCGGCCACTGATTGGCTGAGGACGGCGGGGCAGTTGAAGCCGGCTTTGAGGGGTTGTCGGGGGGTGAAGCCTTTGGACCAACGGTCAGGGTGGCTCGCGATGTTAACGGCGCCAGCTTGGAGCTCTGCGCTGGCGTTCGCCTTCTGCGCGCTGCTCGGCTCGGCCTCCGCTACCGAACTGAACTACGTGACCTGCGGCTCCGTGGTCAAGTTGCTCAACAACCGGTACAATGTCCGCCTGCATTCGCACGATGTGAAGTATGGGTCCGGTAAGTGCCTGGGTCGGGTCGGTCAATCTCTCACCGCTCGGCCTCAACAGCGATGCTGTTTTACATGGGAAGGCATCACATTTGCTGTGTAGGATAGTGATCAAGAGCCGTGCCTGGATTGGTAGCTCTGTCCCCTGGTATTGAATCTAGAATCCTGCCCTGGGGCAGTAGTGCCCCGGGCAAGAGAGGAGATTGCTGGGGCCTTGACCAGGATCTTTGTAGCCACTGGAGAGGTCCTAGAGGACTAGCAAGTAGCTAATGTTGTTTCCGTATTCAAGAAGGGAAATGGGGATAATCCAGGAACTATACACTGGTGAGTTTCACATCAGTGGTTAAGAACCTATTGGAGAGAATTCTTATGGATAGGATTTACGTACATTTGGAAAAGCATGGCCTAATTAGGGACAGTCAGTATTGCTTTATGCAGGGCAGGTCATGCTAACTTGATTGATCACCTTTGTCACCTCCTCGAAAAATTCAATGAGAGTAAAGCGGTGGAGGTTGTCTACATGGATTTTAGTAAGGCTTTCTATGAGGTCCCTCGTGGTAGGCTCATCCGGAAGGTTAAGATGCATGGGATCCATGGTGACTTGGCTGCTTGCGTTCAGCATTGGCTTGCCCATAGAAAGCAGAGGGTGGTGGTGGTGGAGGAATGATTTTCCAGATAAGTGTGAGGTGCTGCATTTTGGGATATCAGATGTGAGGAAAAAGGTATATCCTGAACAGCATTGATGTACAGAGGGATCTTGGGGTTGAAGTCCGTAGCTCCCTACAAGTGGCTGCACAAGCAGTTAGGGTGGTAAAGACGGCTTATGGCAATGCTACTTTGTTGATCGGAGAATTGATTACAAGAGTCAGGATGTCATGTTGCAGCTTTTTAAGACTTTGATTAGGTTACACAGAGTATTGCATTCAATTCTGTTTGTCACATTACAGGAGGCTTTGGAGACAATGCTGCTTGGATTAGAGGGATGAGCCAAAAGGAGAAGCTAGGAAAACTCAGGTTGTTTTCTCTGGAATGTCAGAAGTTGAGGGGAAATTTGATATTCCATAAAATTGAGATACATGGATAGGGTTGACTGTCAGAATCTTTTTCCTAGAGTTGAAATGCCTAATACTAGGGGATCATGTATTTAAGGTGAAAGAGGGAAAGTTCAAAGAAGATGTGAGGGGCATGTTTTTTACACTGAGAGTGATAGAATCATAGAATCCTCGTAGAATCCCTACAGTGTGGAAACAGGCCCTTCGGCCCAACAAGTCCACACCGAACCTCAGAGCATCCCACCCAGACCCAATCCCCTGTAACCGACCTAATCTACACATCCCTGAACACTATGGGCAATTTAGCATGGACAGTTTACCTAACCTGCACATCTTTGGACTGTGGGAGGAAACAAGAGCATTCAGAGGAAACCCACACAGACAGTCGCTCGAGGGTGAAATCGAACCCAGGTTGCTGTGAGGCAGCAGTGCTAACCACTGAGCCACCATGCCGCTCAGATAGGAGTCTGGAACGCGCTGCCAGGGGTGGTGGTCGAGGCAGATACAATAGGGGCATTTAAGGGACTTTTAGATAGCACATGAGTATGAAAGGAATAGAGGGCTATGGACTAAGGGTAGAAAGAAGGGATTAGTTTAATTTGGTGTCATGTTCGGCGAAACATCGTGGGCCGAAGGCCCCATTCCTGTGCTGTACTGTACTATGTTCTGGCCATACCCTCCAGCTCACCCAGTAGCGCTTTGGTGACCACCCTCCCAGTGGGGCATTGGTGTCTCTTCTGGCAACCCCTACCTTCCCCACATCCCTCAGTGGGGCATTGCTGCCTTTCTGACACCCCTCCTGGTTTTTTGGGAATTAGTTAATTTGGAGTTAGGTGCAAATCAGATTGGAGACCTGTTCTACCTTGTGCAACTCCAGTTCTTCATTTCTAGGCACTTTTCAGCAGAGCTACTGGTTGTCTGTACTGGTGAGCGTTCGTACTTTGTATTAGTGTTAGATCTTACCTATGTTTTTGTGTGTGTGAAAGGAGTTGGTATGGGGCTGGAGGCTCAGAGCCTGGAGTTAAAAGGTACACGATTATTCACATCCTGAACCAGTGAGCAGTTCGATGGCTTTGGCGTAAGTTGATTGTTTAGTCCTTCCAAATGTAGCATTGGGTAAAAATTCTACACATTGAGGATTGACCTTTTGAGAAATCAATGGATGGTGGAAGTAGATTTGCATGTCGTATGTGTGGAACTTGACATTGTTTCAAAGCATTTATTTAAAATTGTTCATGGGCTCTAAACATTGTCCAAACCAGCATTTAGTGGCCAACTCTAATTGCTCTTGAATGTGGTGATGACCTGCCCCCTTGAAATGCAGGGTGGATTCACAATGTTTATGAAGTTGCTCATAAAACTCCACAGTTAATGTAGTGCTGATCAAGAGTTTGACTGTTCACTTGTAGGGAATAAGTTGTTCTGTCAATTTCTTGTGTTAAAAGTTAAAATGGTGCAGGTGGCAGTGTGTTCTCATGGTTATCAATGAAAGAACACTTTGTGTCTTTCCTGGAACAATTCGTTCTCTTACTGTAGGGAAAACCTTATGTTACTGAATTTATTCCAGAATTCTATGTACTGACTCATCCAAATAAAGGGAAGTGCTAGTTGAAGCAGGGAAGTTCAGCATCTTGGGTAGAAACTTTCTTACAGGGGTTGTGCTTGACTATAAGAATTTGGCAGTAGTTGATTAACATATCATTGGAGATAGGAAGAATCAAAATTTGTCAAGGCAGTTTTATTTCAGTTGAATTGGATGTTAGAATTTAGCTCATTTACAGTCCCAAATTGGGAGGCAAAATGCAAGAGGATATTAAATGTGCAAAATAGCTGTGGAAATGCCAATTAGAATACAATAAGTTTGAGATAGAGTATGCTGCACGTATGGATGTTATGGAGAAGCTGCTTTTTTAAAAAAGTTCTATTTTATTAAGTATCTATGAGAAAAAATTGAAAAATGTGTTCTTTTCTCTGGAATAAAGAGCTGAGATACTGAAACCCATCCTTTAAAATAGGGAAAGGTGTTGATAGGGTTGTCACAAGATTTTCACACTTATGGGGAGACAAATTAGTTCCATTAGTATAAAGAAATTAAAAACTCAAATAAGAGATTCGGGTGAAATAGATTTGTCCATAAAGTGGTTAGAAATGTTATCTACACTTTGATTTTAGTTTCTTAGGGAACTTGCTAAACAGACTGCCAGAGCAAAGAATAAATTAACAGTCAATTGATACATTTTAAAGGAGAATCAAGAAATAATTGAGTTTTTTGGGTGAATCAGGGTTAGTATTTCCTGAACAGGAATGAAAAAGTAATGTTAGTGACAAGCATAACATCCATGGTGAAATAATTGTATATGCACAGAGGGTCTTTCATCACTCCAGATTATACATTCATGTACAGTGTATGCTGTTTGAGTAGATGTTGCTGTAAACACTGTCTCTGTGCTGTCTTTGGCTGTACTTCTTTTCTGTGGACATTCTTTCCCTTTTTGTTTCAGGTAGATTTATAATAAAGCTTTCTGGTAGTCTTATAAAAGTGAGTTGAACTCTGAGTTGAATTGAAGTTTTGTTACATTTTCAGATTAGTATGATAGTATTTTCACTTCGAAAAAATCTGCCTCAGTTGCCATCTCACTTGTGGCTCAACACCCTGAGATGTGGGGAATAGTGAGGCAGAGGCATCAATGGGTGCATTACCGTGATGTCAGCTGCACCAACCTTTGGTTCCAGGATGGTGTGGGTGCCTAATGATGATTAAGCTGTTTATTTTTACATTTATTTGTAAATAGATTCCTACTTGTGATGCTAAAACGCTACTAAAATTTGAACAATGTCATTATAGATATATTTTACCCTATTTCATGGGAGAGTTCAAATAAAAATGTTTTAACAAATGCTTCATGCTCAGTTCTCATTTTTGCCAATACTTGGATCTATACCTGTTTCTTGGAACATATGGTGTACTGCTTTGCAAATCCACTTCCCTGTTAACATAATTGCAGCCTTGATTTGTCCCAATACAAATAGAAGGAGTGTATACTGTTCCAATTGCTTTCCCAGCCCCTTGTAAAAGGCCTCTTTTTGAAAGCCTACCAAAGTCAGAAACTCCTCCTGTTTCTCCCTAACACTACAACCTCCTCTGGTCCCCAGTTCCTCTTCAGCACTCCATGTAATTACTTGCAAGGTTTTACTTTATTTCCCACTATAATGTACTGGCGACCTGTAAAATTCTCTCTTCTATCAGAATTTCAGTGTTGTCATTGCTTTAATTGCATACAAAATCTATGTAAAGAGAAGCTAAGACCAAGAGAAAGATTATCAGATGCATTTTTCCTTTTTGCTTAATTAGCAGTGTGTGGATATTGGGTGAAGAGATTATTAAATTTGGCTGATTTTATTTTTCGTTTTCTTTTCATCGGACTCCTTCTCCAGCTACTGAGACACAGAAGCTTAAACATTGAATAAAGATAGTTGGGGAAGGGGAAAAGCAGCATAATTTTTTTGCAAAATTATTTTTAAAAGTTGTCACTTATTTTTTAATATTTTAGTAATGGTCTCCTTGCAGTTTGATTATTTTCAAAGCTGCTTTTAAGTCCTAAATTTACAATAATCACTCTTCACTTTTCAAAAGGAAGTGGTCAGCAGTCTGTCACTGGGGTGGATGCTTCTGATGACAGCAACAGCTACTGGACAGTGAGAGCAAAACCAGGCCAAGTTTGTCAACGAGGAATGCCGATAAAATGTGGCCAGTCAATACGGCTGACGCATGTCAATACTGGAAGAAACCTGCACAGTCACCATTTTGTGTCACCACTTTCTGGAAACCAGGTATAATGATCTAAGTGCTGAGCAGCTGTTGTTCAGTAGTTAGCAATGTAAATCATCGTAACTGAAACTATTGCGTTAGTTATAAATAGTGTTTACTTTGCATAAAATATGTTTGATAATAAAATGGCTACTTATTGTAGTTTTCTCCACCGTTTTTGTAATGACCTCCTCTGTTCTCAGTGTGGAGTATCTTTGAAATTAGTATAGTAACTTGCCCTGATTACTATACAGAAGTCTTTTTTTATTCTGATCTTGTTTTTGATACTGGTATGCCATACAGTATATGGTAATCTTATGTTCTCTTCCTCTCTCCCACATGTACATGCTTCCTTGGGGCAAAGTTTGGCTTTTGTTTGACGTCTTATGCAAAAAAGTGTTGCTTTTGGCTTCTTGGGGGCAATTAGGCATGGGCAAAATATGGTGGCATGGTCAGAGACTCCGACATCCCGTGACATAAGTTTGTTTATAAAACTTGCTAGTTTCTATCAACTAGTTTATCTGAATATAGATTCGACTTTCTGAGAGCATGATTGACTATAAGTTAAACATGTACTGTTTTACCCTGTAGGAAGTAAGTGCTTTCGGTGAGAGTGGAGAAGGAGATGACTTGGATGTTTGGATAGTGCAATGCAGCGGAACGAGTTGGGAGCGAGATGACGAAGTACGCTTCAAGCACGCAGGCACCCAAGTCTTTCTAACAATAACAGGAGAGCAGTATGGCCATCCAATCCGAGGTCAGCTTGAGGTTCATGGCACATTCAGCCCCAGCGCCAACAACTACTGGACAGTAATGGAAGGTGTCTTTATCAAACCTAGTGCTGAGCCGTTAAAACACGATGAGCTATAGCTTTAGTCAAATAAAATGGTTTGCGGGGAGTGAAGGAGGCCAGTAAGAAATATTGTTTGACAAGTTATTTCATCTCATCTTGAGTCATAGTTTATAAAGGAAAAACAAAATTGTACTTTATTTTCTATACTTGTTTAAATTTCTAAAGAAATGGGGATGTATTTAAAACAAAGTTGTGTGCAGATGTAAAGATGCACATGGTCAATTTTGTTGCTTTAATTTTCTGTTGTTGGGGAAAGAGTCAAACTTGGAAAAATCAGGTATTTGAAATATAGTTTAAAGTCATTTGCATCTGAATGGTTTAATAACTCCAAATGTTGCAAACACAATTTCCTTTTTATCTGTTACTTCCCTATCCTTTCTTTTTGCTTTCATAAAAATATTATGTTCTGCTGCAATCCATGATTTCCTGAGCAGAGAATGTAATTCACTTGCAGAAGACCAGCCATAACTGGCACTGTCCATTCCATCTGCTAACAACTCTTCATGTTGTCACAGACTAAATTCTACACAGTATGTTCGACCATGCTGGGTATCAATATCAGTAAAAGTGCATTAATTCCAGAGGGGAGAGCTGGAAGTTGTCAATATGTTTATTAAATCACCCTTTCTACTAAGCAGTGGTCCCAGATGAAGGCAGTTTCTTTTTCATTTTGTCCAACATTTTCATTGCTGCTTCTTTAGATTTTGCATTCAACGCAAGCACACTCCTTACAGTACAGAAACGTGCCATTCAGCACAGAAGATCTCTACCTGTGTTCATGCAACACATACTTAATCATTTCCTTTGTTACATTTTATGTATTTTCCTGTTTAAATGTATCTGTGCTATTTACCTCCAAGTTTAGGTTTGGAATTTATATCCAAAATGTGGTCTTATAAACAAAATGGTCAATATATTGCTAGACTAATCTGTTACAAGTGACAGTGTTGCACAAATGATTTTTATGATTTGTTCAGGAGGTTCAAATTGATTTGATCCATTTTTGTTGAGCCACTGAGTAAGACTTAAAATAAATGTTTACCTACTGTTTCTGATTTGAGTTTGTGCAAAGCTGCTTTACCTCCCATATACAGTTCCTTCAGCTGGCTAGAAATATTCAGTACTATGTCCCTATGGTACATAATCCACAGTTTGGCTGAAAGTACAAACTGACAATATTTCTAATAAGTAAATAAATGTGCTTGGCTAATTTATTCAGTAGTTAATACATCGTTTGATGCAGCATAAAGTTCAGGTTAGGAATTCTGTCAGATGCACTGAATGATCTCTTTGGGGCAGTGATTGTGATGGTACAATTGCCATCAGTGATCATGGCAGATTTTCCTCTTCAGGCCAATGTTCGATTGCTGTCTCATGACTCTTACAAGAAAATTATGTATTCGGATGAATGTCAGCTTTAGTACCTTCCATAGTCAAATATTCTGAGCCAATTCAGGGTCATGTGTAGAATAACCATTTGATTGAGATATTGAGGGGGCATGTGCACCTGTGGAATGGTTCCTTAACATGACACCATCTCTCAGAAAGTAATTCAAAAAGCTGACTTTCCAGCTTGAAATTAAATATTAATATAAATACTAAAGCATATCCTGTTGCCCAGGCTCAACATCTGTATCTGGCTTTAAGTAAATTGAGGTGTGAATGGCACTGTTTTTTTTTTTGTTTTGTGTGTGTTTGGAGCAATTGCTTGTAATCCAAAATGGCACTGTATGTATATGCAGATGTTGACCGTGACATCAGCTGGTTATGACAGGTGACAGAAGCATCTGCGCATGCCAGATGCATCTGTGCATATGCCAGTGAACATCAGTGTGTTTGTATGCGGTGACATCAGCAATAAGTGCGCAGATGGCCCCTACTGAGGTTGTCAGCAATACTTGCACAGTTGCGATCTTGCTTCCCTTTCCACTGGCTGGAGGCAAGGGGCGAAACAAGCTTTCATTAAGGATGCTGAGGCTTGCAAAAAGGAGCTTCACCTCCTTGGCAGTATCTTCTCAGCTACTGCCTCTTTGCCATGCCACTGCCATCAGGCTGCTGCTGTGTCTAAAGCCTGGATGAGAAGGTGGTGAAGATGAATAGCAGGTTGGTGGGGGTAGCTCAGCAGGACAGACAGTTACATCAACAGCTCCAGCCCCAAGGCATGACTTCCCAGGTCTGGGAAGATCCTTTCCTCATGCACTGTGGTGGGGAGCACGTGATGGCCAGAGATGCTACTGATAAGGGGAACCTCCTATTCATTACCCAAGCCTCCCCAAGTCTTGCATCACACTTCCAGTTGAAACCTCTGGCAGACTACTAGGTACTTGCTCTGATGCTGTTTGTTGCTTCATAATTACATTGTGCCTGCAATTCATGGCTCCGAGAGATGATGTTTATAGAATGTGCTGCTTTTTTTTAAAAATGAAATTGTAATTGGGGTTTCTATCCAGTGTGGTTGTCTCTGAAAAGGACCTGTGTTTATGAGTAGGCAAGAGTGTGCCTCTTCAATCAAATTGATTGAAGTATAGCCACTGAGACATGCAGAATGTAAACTGAGTAGCAAACTAAATTTGAAATGTATATAATATTGCAAAGAAAAGGGGGAAAGAAAGATCATCACCCAACCCACACTGAAGATGTCAAACTTGGCAGAAACAGTGCTACGGTTCAGCAGTGTATTCCTATAGATTCTCCTGAAGGCTGTCCAGGAGACAAGGCAGCCTGGACAGAGGTGACTACAGACGTCACTGCTCATGGGCAGCTGACAATGGCTTCAGTGCTGCAAAAGGAAGAATGATTTGTGCTCCAGCAGGGTATGTACCACTCTACGCAACGCTTCATGCTCTGGGTTAATTTAAGCTTGCCACAGCATGACAGTCGCACACAAGATTGGGTGCCAGGCATCTCTATCAGATCTCTGAGATAGTAAGAACTGCCGATGCTGGAGTTTCTGAGATAACACAGAATGGAGCTGGAGGAACACAGCAGGCCAGGCAGCATCAGAAAAGCTGACATGTCGGGTCGGGACCCTTCTTCAGAAAATTTTCTGAAGAAGGGTCCCGACC